GAAATTAATAATTTTTCAAAATATCTTCCTTTGATCTGTGGATTGAAAGATATCAAAGTCATGAGTGGGATTATCAAAGACAAGAAATTAAGCCAGTTTAATTCTCCTTGACTGCTATATAAAAAAATGTTTGGTGTAGAAAATATTTAAAGTTTGTCGTAAAAGATTTAGTGCACTCTTCCCAATCACTTGACAGTTCAAGATCCAAAAGAATATTTTATAAATTTCAAATAATGCAAATGATCCAGATTTTGTTAAGAAATTTGAAAGATATTAGTGTCCCAACCACTAGTTTAGAGAAGTTCTGAGATGAAGAACGAAAGCAGAATGAATGAAATATACATCTGGAATTATCTCAGACTAGAGCTTGAAAATATATTCAAACTAGCGCATATTCAAAATACATATAATTCAAATAAGAAAGTTTTTGAAGTTAAGAAAAGTAATTCCAAAATGAAGGACTCAACTGCTTCAAGATTAAGAGCTACATGGAATATTATTTTAAACTGATGTAAGCTGAAGTTTCTGTAACTTTTAATTTAGTTATGGCAGATAATTTAATGGAAACCTTAAATAATAAAACCATGTTAGGGAGAAAAATGTTTTATCTCAGTATAATTAGTTAAAGAAACTGATCTGTTTTTGATGTCAAAAGCAACTTTTCTCATTTAAAAAATAGTGCATCAAAGTTTTCCAATGAAGAGTTTCAAATTACCAGTTCAAGGAACCCGGCAACCTGAATTCACTGTAGATAGATCCAGAAGAGGAGACTTCTTTGCAGCCAAAGGGAGTTTTACTCTGACAAGCTTGAAGATGGTCTGATAAAATATATATATATATGTAATGAAACTGTGGTTTGAAGGTGGCAGAGTGGAAAGCATGATGACGCAATTTAGCACAACATATCTTGAAAAATCACAATCTTTATTTTTTCCATGCATATCAAATCATCCTTTTTCAGACAAGATATTTCTTAATAATATTTGAATAGAATAACTCCCATTTTGAAGTAAGACGTCATCTTAAGCAAGTAAGCGGCAGCAGCACGTATGAAAGGCGTTTTACCAGCAGGGGAGTTAACGCGGAAAAGGGAAAGGTTATAGTACTTTCATAGCAAGAAGGCTGAAGTTTCAGTTCACAGTTTTGGTTTAGAATTAATTTGATTGGACGAGAGGCATCTGCATTAAAACGTTACATAAGATAGAAAAGTCTGGAACCTGTGAGAAGAGATTAATTTAGGGGCAGATTACCAAATTTAGAATGTTAATTTTGAGGTCGTCAATTATTTTTTTGAAACAGCTATCATATTTTGTTATGTCTTACATATCCCCCCCTTCAAAAGAAAAGTTGGGTGAGCAGGGTGGAAGAACAAGCATTAGAGCAGCAAAATGTGAAAAGTTATAACTGTGAAAATACAAAACATATTTACTTTTTTTTTTAAACAAAAAATTATTGCCATAAAACTTTGAACGATATTTTGACATTTCATTGAAAGTCATAAAATTTTGAATTGAACTATGAATCTTAGCACTGTATTATTTTCAAACAATAGTATATTTTAGAGTTCTGAGATAAGAATGTCCAATGAATTTTTGTAAAGTTCTTGATAGTTCCACATGGTAAAAGTTCAAATTTTTTCACAAACTAAATGTTCAAATAAAATTCTTTCAAATTTTTGTTTGATGAAAATACTTCTATTATATTACAAATTGAGATGCCAACTTTTATGTTATTTAATTATGTTTTTAGAGAAGGTATTTTAAATATAAAAATTTTGTAAAACATCATTCATAAACACAATTTCAAATTTTTCACTATTATTAAGACGTTTAAAATTTAATTATTCTTTACGAAACTTGAAAACTCCACAACTTTATCTAAATACTAGCATTTCCATCATATTGGTTTATCAGTTGAGCAAACTGGTGTTTAATATGCTTCACCAGTGGCCAAAAGATTTGCCAAATTAGCAGTTACTGTAGAAATTCCATTTTATTTCCAATTGATATTATGATATAGTTAATCTGTTGAGATGAAAGTCATTTAGTATGAAACTACACTTAAAAAATTGACAAAATAGAGGATCTTGCTGCTTTGGAAGTTATCGATTGAAAGCAGTAGCATGAGAGGTCTTTAAGATTTATTACTATTAATGTGAATGGAGTCAAATGTATTGAAAATATTGGCATTCAGATCTCAATTGAAATATTCCGAACACAAACAGCTATGGAATCATTACTTTCATCTTAGTTCGTGGGGAAGAAATAAATGCAAGTCTAATAAAAGTTCATGTGTCAGAAGAAATTCGTACCAAAGGTGCTACCTTCTTTCTTTGATCTTTGGATTCTAAGATAAAGAAGCCAATCTGGCTAAGTAAGACCGTGACAATGTCCAAAATTCTGGCGAACTTTAAATTAATTTCAATGGTACACATCAAGTACACCAGCCAAAGTTTGAATTTTTATTAAAAAATCTTTTTTTTTTTTTTCCATAAAATAAATAAAAAGAAATATTAAGTCATGTTGGCTCATTTGTGCCAGTAAACTGAACAATTATTAATTAATTTGTAAAGTAAATAGTGTTACATGGTGTTATAAATAAATAATGTATTAAATAAATAGTAATTAAATATACATGATATTTTTTAAAACAGAAATTATTGATCATCTGGCATTAAAACTAGCGCTGAACAAATTAGTTAGAAATGACATCTGAAATAATTAAACAGTAAAAAATACATTTCAAATCAGAATAATTTATATTTAAAAAAAAATGGAAGAAGTGGGAAAGCTAAACTTCTTTAAAAAGTACAAATCTGGTGCATGTCAAAAGTCGTTAATTCGGAAACCCATAATCCGGAATGATCTATAATCCGGACCTCAAAGCTAAAAACTTTCTGCGCATGCGCTGCGTTGACACATGCACATAGGCGTTTAGGCGTGTGCGTAAGACCTTTACGACTGTGCATATGTGTGTGCACAAGTGCAGAATACGTTTTCGCGTGCGCGTTTAATGTATAACGGATGGTATAAGCTAAAATTATTTAATTATCTATTTCAGTTAATGTTGATGATTGCGTTGTTCCTTAATCCTCGAATTGGATGCAGCTTATTATTTTTTGCAGACTAAGAGCAATTTTATAAAAGTACTATTTTATAAAAGATCTTTCGATTATCGCTAAACTTCTTTAAAAAGTACAAATCTTTTGCATCGTTTTACAGATTCCAGCATAAATTTATTTTATTCCTTTGGCGTGATTTTTTATTTATTCTATAAATGCCTTTATTCAAGCATTTCAAAAATTTTAAATACTTTAACAATAGAATGGAACATGATCATTTGGATAAAATAGTTTAACAACACATATTTCATATGAAACAGATTGTGATAATTAATTAGAAATATTAATGTAAAAACTGTAGCAGTTCTAGTATATGATCAACAGTGTCGAAGAAGCTTTTGAGTAGTTTTATTGCTGGCAGCACGAACTCCTTTATTGCAGTTGAAGTGCTTGACCTTTGTTCATTACTTTGCAGTGAGCCCCCAAATAGAAACCCTAAAGTGTTTTACACCCATTGGGGAAAAAAGGAAATCTTTCATTGTGACCATATTAAAATATTGAAAATGTTGGGAAATTTGCATTCTCCCTTACGGCTGTGTACTACTGAAGAGGTGAGAAATTCAACACTATATAATTCAGTGGTAGAAGCCAAGAAATATGTGAAGACTGTCTGGATGTGTGTCATCCTGGTAAACAATGTGGCCAGTAACTGTGATCTTCTCTAGCATAGTATCATGGTGTGATACATAAAATCCTGACATGGTATGTAGCTGATGAAGACGGAAAAACGAATAGGAACGTAAGTGGAATGTTTCGCACAACATTTACTACAAAGCCAAATACTTGGCAACCTAAACGAATTGCCAAGTAGACTCTACAGACATAATGCAGCAGTTTATACCGACCAAATTAATCACCCGTTATTCATTATATGGTTTTTTCTCACTTGTCAAAGGCTGACATGCCCTGTTCATGTGTTTTTCCAAAGCTCAAGGAACGCACTTATTCAAATTTGTTTCATTTACATCAAATATGCTCCTTTGTAGGCAGTCACATTTTGCACTATGTAAATATTATCAGCATTGCCAAAAATCTAACAATGGATGTTAAAATTTTGAAGAACTGCTGCATGTCCAAAATGAAATGTTTAATTGGTACTTACATATTATCCTATCAATTGCTGACAGAAATTTTGGCTATGGTCACCAGTCAACCATGATTGGTGCTACTTGGCTGATTGTCAGAATAATACACAAATACTGTTTAATTTAAGTATGAAACATATTATGCAGTTTTTTATTAATTTTATTTAGAAGACTGAGAAGTTATTGGTTTTGCATGCTATTTTTTGTAATTTCTTCAAGTTTATACTCAAATTGTAAAAAGAATTATATAACCAAAGAAGCTATTTTAAATAATAATTATTCAGAGTAAAAAATTATGCTTTATGTAATTCATTCAAATTAAAAATTTTGCTTGGTAAAAGTTTGCTATTCAATATAGTAAATGCAAATTAAATGTGATATTTATTGCTTCGGAAGTAATTTTTTAAAAAATTTATTGTAAATATTCATTGCAAGTAAATAGTTATGAATACAAAATGAAGTAAATTATTATATTATTCAGTAGTAATGTGCCATAAGAATTACTGGCCCTCACATTTACACTTGTTTTAATAAAAGTTGCAAGGATATAATTTGAGAAAAAATTTGTTCAGCTATCTGAAATGTAATAGTGGGGGAATTTCTGAACAGCTACCGTTTTTCATTATGATGTTTTGTGCATTTATGGTCAATAGACAATTAAGTTTATCTTTCAGTTGTATACTGTTGATTCAGGAAAGTGCCTTTATAAGATAAATAAATTTTGAGCCATGAAAGTTCTTATAAGTTTTTTTTTTTTTTTTTTTAGTAGGAAGTTTAATTAGCATGGTTTTCTTCCCAGGTTTCCTCTTTCCAAACCTGATCTTCTTCTCAAATGGTTAACAGCAATGAGGAAGGACAAATGGGTTCCTACCAAAAGTGATGTCCTGTGTAGTTTCCATTTTACTGAAGACCAGTTTGTTGAAAACAGTGGATATCGTTTCTTGATTTCTACTGCTGTTCCTACAAAATTTGAAATTCTGGCTCCACCAAAGGTTGTATACTTTATTTATAATTGTAACTAAATATTTACCACTTTTTTAACATTTAAAGATAGTGAGCAATTTGGAGAAGTAAATTACATTGTGTTTTTAAATTAAAAACCAAAAATCTTAAAATACCTAATTCAGTATAAGTAAAGCTTATTTTGCTTCCTGTAATAAATTGCTTGTTTTATTTTTAATGTTAATATTTTAGGGTTCAAAATACATTTTGTAATTTTTGAATTTTATTATTCAGTCTTTTTAGTAATAAAAACTCTAGTTCAGTTGTGTAAACAAAAAGTATAATTTCTAAAGTTTTGATGTAAAATTGTGTATACTTTGTAATTTTTAATAGTAAAATGCATAAATTAAAGCGTATAATTCTGTGTAAAAGTATCTCGCAATTTTGTTCGAGATGATAATGGTCCAAAAATGACTAAGCTAGAAAACTGCAAATAAAAAGTGTACTTGCCTTTAAATTCAAAGATTCTTTATAAGGAAGGAATGTGTCTTTGCAAATTCATAAAACTAAAGTTGAAAGATTTTATCTAATAGGATCATGTTCAATACATCATTATTTCTGTTCATTCTCAGAGTTTTTTGCCTATGTTTTTGTGTGCCTCACTGCGAGCCTTCACAACATCTTCAGACAATTGTCTTACAGGCTGTGATAATGATTTGATGATGTGGCTAACATGCATAAGAAACTTGTAAGTAGACAGTTGGACTAGTTGTTGTCCTGGCATGTAAGATGTTATACAGTCAAAAGTCGTTAATCCGGACTCGGGACTTCGCCGATTCCGGATTATCGATTTTTCCAGATTATATATCATCAGTTTAAATCTGGTAAGATGGCATGCAGAAATTATAAAATTAAAAATATGAAACCGTAATTTATGAAATAAAGAACAATTATGATCTAAAGGGTATCAAAATTTACAAAAAAAAAGCTTAATATTTATTTGTTTACTTTATTAAACATTGCTTTCAATGTAAGTTGTTTATGTTGCTTCGTTTTCTGTGATAATACTTTCTCTTTAATTCTATAAACAGACATAATTTCTTCTTCAGTTACAAAGTTTCGCTGTTGAATAATTGTCCTATAATTGCTGTGTCGAGAATACCGACTAATTTGTCAATCGAAATTTTTTCGTTTTCAATACCTATGTGTCATTTTCTTCACTATCGGAAGCGAATTATAATGACGAGGAATTTAGTTTAAATCATATCAAAAACGGAGTACATCGAGATGAAATACTACATTTAGTAAGGAATTATAAGCTAAATAAAATTAAAACATCTGCCCTGAAGACAAGGATAGTGCTGACAGATCAACTTCCAATTCATTGTGAGCCGCGGCGAACCCCCCGAATGGTTACAGAAACGAAGGATATGCCTTTATCCACTTTTTGTTTAATGGACTTCGAAACATATTTTCACTTTGTAGATCCTTTACATATTAGTAAATATATATCGGAAATTCTATTTGACGTAATCGAAAGTTCAAGCTTACTTTTATAAAATTGCTCTAACAGTCTGCAAAAAATAATAAGCCGGATCCAATTCGAAGATTAAGGAACAACGCAATCTGCAACGTTAACTGAATTAGATAATTTTAGCTTAGCTCATACCATCCGTTATACATTAAACGCGCATGCGTAAACATATTATGTGCATGCGCACACGCATATTTGCAGCCGTAAAGGTCTTGCTCACATGCGTAATCTATTATGCAGTTATTATGATCATTGGTAGGTATCTTCTGTTAGACCACACAGAAAGTTTGTAGCTTTGAGGTCTGGATTATAGATCATTCCAGATTATGGGTGTCCGAATTAACGACTTTTGACTGTAATTGTGCCTTCACAACATCTTCAGACTACTGTCTTACAGGCTATGGTAGTGATTTGATAATGTGGCTGACATGCATAAGAAACATGTATACAGATAGCTGGAGTACTTGTGTCCTGGCATGTAAGATATTATAATCGTGTGAAAGTCCAAACAGGTTCTTATTTCCATTTTCAGTTTTCCTGCACTTGCATTTGTAGCAATTTTTACAGTTTAGGCAGCTGTCCATTCTGATTAAGCATTAAGCTGTCCATTCTTTATTAAGCATCTTAGATATATAGCATAAGGTAACTTTTCCTTATTCTTATCTGTAATAAGATGCATCACATTACAAGGTATTTTCCCCCCTTTCAAAACTTTTGAAAAAAATTTCATTTGTCTGCCTCAGTCAAAATTTACAGGCAAATTTCAGAATTCGGTTCTTTAGAGTTCTGCACAAGTTTCTCATAAATCTTTTTACTATTCTTCCATTTTGCAATTTGAAAGAAACACTTTCAATATAGTTTTTAAACTTGTTTTCACTATCTGTAGAATAATTAATGACATTAAATTTGTCCCAAATAAAATTATGTAACTTTGTATTTTACATAAATTGCAGTAAGTAAAGGAAATTGCCTTGTTTTAATAGCATGAATAGTCCTTTTTTGCTAAAAATCTCTCTTCTGTAATCCATCAAATCAGCATCCTTACTTCTACCTGCAAATACAATCCTCTACAAAAAAAAATAATGTAATACTTTTTTTTGTAGGTTTCATTATATGTGATTATTTTGAGAGTTATTTTTATGAATGAAAGTACTCACATTAGCTCAAGTTAAACTTGTAATAATAGCTTCAGTTAATAATGATAAAGTAGCACTGATATGAAATGGCATACCTGTAGCTATAGAACCCATAATGAAGTAAAATCCACAATCCTGTTATAAGAATAGATGCATATCCATTCATTAAATGCATGAGTTCATGACTTAGATGGATAAAATCTCTTTGTTTGGGAATACCAATTTTGAAAGGCATATGAACTTTTGTTATTCTAAATTGAAGTAATTGTTGCAAATACTTGGATTATTGAAGAATATTTTCAAGTTCCTTTAGTACAAGTCAAATATTGATTTTTTTCAAGCTGGGTGTTTTGCCTTTTAAATAAAACTACATATCAGTGAAAGCATTTGGAAGTACAACATGAAAAGTTAAGAATGATGGAAAAGCATACATTTCAACAATTGGTTCATTAGTTTTAGGATATTGTTTACAATGCAGTTATTCGTTTGTTGTTGGGCAGAAGACTGATGTCATATAAGTGGTGAAAGAGGCAATTCAGCTTATACGAAAGTACAGCTGTTGACCGGAATAGTTTTGTGAGAGAGGTGTATTCTCTGCATTGGATCCAACAAGCCCAGGAAAAATTGTGAACATAATCAGAAATTTGCTCTTAAGGAAAAACCAAAACCTGCAGTATTCTTCGACAGTATTTGATATTTGGCAGGTTATGCCAAGAAACCAGTAAATTATTTCTCACTCAGGTTCTTAATAGAGAGGCAGCCACCATTCAGGGCAGAAAGCATTGACCATATTAATTTCATTTTGCTTGTCCAACAATAGTTGCTCTTACACAAAATGTTGAAAGACATGCTTTGCTAAATGGCAAAATAAAAATCTACAAGGCATGGTTCACTATCAGCATGAATCTTACCTAGCAGAGTTCATGTACTGAAAGTCCTTGGGACACAAAAAATATTTCTGATGACATATTACAGTGGTTCTTAACCGGGGATGCCAGCACCCCTGGGGGTACGGGAATGTGTTTTTGGGGGTGCGGGAGAAGCCCCGACCTAACCATAAAAATTATTAAATTTCTTATAGTAAAATATTTGAAATCTGCAATAGTGTCCCCAATACGAAGCTCATAAAAATTGGTAGCACCTAGCTCACTTATCGGCAAAAAACACAGGAAAGAGTCGGTGCCGATGGGCGTATACACTACGCTATGAAAAGGCATGAAACGCTACAAACGAATGCGAACAGGCAGCTAGGTGACGGCGAAAAGACAAAAAACTTTGTGGGAATACAAGCGTGACCTTCGAGAAACCTCGATAGCCACGATACAAGCGGAGAACGTTATCCCAGCTTGCGCATGCGCTGAGTTCAACATGTGCTACTCCAATGAAATCTACGGATTCACAGATTTGTATCTGCATCTACTGCGCCTGTGTTAGGTTGAGTCAACTATTGTGTCTGCGACATGTGTATTGTGTATTCTGACTTGTCCAGAAACCTCTTGAGACTAATACATTCTTAATTGCCCGTTCAAGCCGAATAGAATTCAGTGATATTACAAACGTAAGAACATTATATATATTATATTACATTATTTCTAAATAATTAAATCGATTATAGTGAACCCCACTATGTCAAAAAAAACGACAATGGAACGATAAGTATGCCGGTTATGGATTTACCTGCACAACCGAAAAAGATGGCACGCAACGACCGCAATGCATCTTGTGTTCCAAGATATTTTCAAACAGCAATCTCAAACCATCAAAGTTATTAGAGCATTTCAACAATCTGCATGGTGGCGAAAAAGCGCATAGCATGAACAGCTTGAAGTCAAAGAAGGCTCGGTTTGATACCAGTGGAACTATCCTAAAATTGTGCGGACCAGCAATTCAAAAACCTTTATTAGAAGCGTCATATCAAGTGGCATATTTATGTGAAAAAAAAAAAAAAAAAAGAAAGAAAGAAAGAAAAAGAAACCTCACGCGATCGAAGAGTTGATTAAACCTTCTGCTTTAATTATTGCTAAAACAGTTTTAGATTCGGAAGCACATAAAAAAATCCAACAGATTCCATTATCGAATGATATTATACGATCGCGAATACAAGATCTCAGTGAAGATATTTTAATGCAAGTAATTGAAGACATAAAAAATCAGTCCACTAAAAATAAGCATGCAACTGGATGAGTCAACTGATGTTGATAATTGTAGCCAACTTTTGGTATTTGTCAGGTATGTGAAGGAAAAAGAGGTGATAGAAGAATTTCTATTTTGTGAGCCACTGGAGGTGAATACGAGAGGAATTGATGTTTTCAATCGCATCAAAGATTTTTTTACTAAATATCAATTACCAATGAATGTGATTGGCTCAATATGCACTGAT